TCTGCCATCATCAGTCTTCTGTATTGTGTTCATCTGACGAACACTATATATATATATGTGTGTGTGTGTGTGTGTATGTGTATGTGTATGTGTATATGTATATATGTGTATATGTATATATGTATATATGTATATGTATATATGTATATGTATATATATATGTGTATATATAGTGTGTGTGTGTGTGTGTGTGTATATATATATATGTTAAGTTTTCGCTTTTAAAAGCACAACTATAATGACGTGGGAAAATACCCGAACAAAGCTGAATACCATACACACACACACACACACACACACACACACACCTATCTATATACACATATGTATGTATGTGTATACATATGTGTGTGTGTGTGTATCTTTTCTTATTAAGCAATGTTTCTATATGACATTTGCAATCTTATATATATATATATCTGACATATGCAATCTTGCCCTGAGAAAACATCTAAAATTCTCTTTTCTGTATAGATAAGTATGCAGGTACTTTAGACATAAGAACAAGTGATTTGAAAAACGCTAGGTGTTTCTAAACTTTCCTTCTGTTTTGCCTACGTGGCTAAAAGCCATAATGAGGAAACCTGAACTTTCTGCTTAGAGAGGTATGCTTCTTATAAGCAATGATTGGTTTAAAAGCAGAACTTCTCTAACCCTGGATTAAAATGCTATCCTCAAGGCATTTCAGTGAGATCCTAGACATAATGGAACAATTTTGATTGGTCACCAAGATTGGGATTAAACCCTAGTTTTACAGAACATTTTGGAAGAGCTTAATGCATATTATCTATTGTAGTCAACATAAGGCAGAAGTGAAACCGCTGTCTCTAGCAAGTGCTGCATTTTTCTGATCACAACTCATCAAGTGTCCATCTTTTTCTCTGGATGGAATTGTCTGGTGTTTCTGATACTTTTGCTATCAGAGACAGATGGAGATTTTCAGTTTGATCCGAGCAAAGCCCAAATGGGAAAAATTACAGCAATCTTGGTTTACCCCATTTTTGTCCTTGACTTCTGCTGTTTTTCTTATTATATTCCAACTTTCTTTAATTGTTTTCCCAATCTATTTTCCAAGAGTTTTCTCTGACTCTGTGATTTGATCTCCCAATATTTCTCTCTCATTGATTTTTCTCTTTCTCTTCACAAATGTTTTCTCCTTCTTACAATTTTACCTTCCTTGCCCCCCCCCTCCCCCGTCAGTCAATAAGTCTTCCTTGACTTGTAGCTATTTTTGTCTTTTGCTTGAGGCACTTGGCAGCTTCATAAGTGACTTGAAAAGGTGGCTGCAGAACTCTGGCTGTCCCTGAAATGCAAATTCTGCTATTGCTTGTTTACATTTCTTGCTGTCCTTACAGTATGAAAAATCACTAATAAAAGTCTTAAGAGAAAGTCTATCCACAGCATGCTTTGGCCCCAGTAACTTATAATGATCTCCTTCCTATTTTCAGCTACATTTTACTTTACTTCTGTGGATGTATCTTTTCATATAGGGAAACAATGAAATTATGTTTCAAGTTTGTAGTTTAATCTACTTAAAGGGGGAAAAAGTTTTTGTTTACTGTTCATAATGATTACTATGTATCTCTTAGGTTTCCTCCAGTCAACTTGGGTCAATAAACCATTATTTGGACTGGATTTTCAAATCATACCCAAAATAAAGGCCTGTTAACACATTATAAACCAAAGTAGCCTTCTACACACACCCTTACGTAAGATAAAGTAGTACTCTTAAGCTGCAAGGAAAGCATAGTTTTGAACAATGGTTAGATTTCCCTGCTGGCTGGAGAATTCTGGGAGTTGGAATCCACTTAAAAGAGTTTGAAAAATACTGTTATAGAATAAGCTATACATGGATTTCTGTAAATGGTAAGAATGAGTATTAAAACAAAATTAAAGATTGCGATGAAGCCAAAACTACCGCTTTTTTTTCTACTTTTGTATTTGAGCCATGGATTTCTCACCCACCCAAATTCGGAGCTGCTTCTACCGACTGCCTTGAATAAGAAAATATAGTTGCAAATAAATACTTTTCATATCACACACACACACACACACACACACACACACACACCCCTTTAACTTTGGTATGCTCCTCATTGGAGATCCCAGTTACCACTTCTTAGGTGTAACACTATAAACACCCATAGACTGTAATAAAAGTTCTTGTTTTGCTAAGATAAAACTGTATAAACTTCTGAGTTGTGCAGAAACAAGCACAATGGAATAGATACACCCTGCTGTTGCAAATACTCTGTGAGTTAGTTTAGGCATGCCACAATTAGCAACAAGGTTGATATGCTCATAATATGTAACTAATGTCAAATGTTAATCATTGCCGTTTTAAAAATTACACAGTAGCCTGATAAAGACTGGATAATTTGAATGCATGCATAATCACATATGAAAAAATGACACCTTAAAAATTTCACTATAACAGAGCTTTCAAATTCTCCTATATAACTATGGTGTAACAGGCTATGGGTAGCCCTCAATTTACAACCATAACTTGGCACAAATTTATGTTGCCAAGCAAGACGGTTTTTAAGTGTTAAGACAGTTGTCCCATTTTACAAGCTTCCTTGCCACAGTTGTTCAGTGCACTTGTTAAGTTGGTCACATGGTTAATGTCATGCCCCTGATGGAGACTGACTCTGAGGGAGAGGAGGAACAGCTGACAGGGAGTGGAGGTATGGCTCCGGAGATTGTGGAGGAGGCTGGGGAAGGGCAGAGGCTGGCTGGGCAGTCAGAGGAGGAACCAGGCCCATCCCCTCTGCATCCTAGGACACGCAGGGAGGAGAGGATAAGGGAGAGACATGGTCTACTGGGGAGGAGAGGGCCTTGATCCTCTTCATGGGCTGCAGCTGTGACAACTGGATAACAGGACAGACATGCGTACTGGCAAGCGCTGGAAACAAAGCATGGAAATATCTTTAGTTTATTGTTCCTCTCTGAGTTTGGCGTCCTTCCCAGTATGTGTTCTGATATCTGTGGACATCTTCAAGCCCTTATCTTGCCTGCTTTGTGTTGTTTTTTACTCTTTATAATTTAAACGGCATTTCCTCCTTTTTGTAACTGCTTGTGTGGGAGTTCTTTTGTCTCCAGTCAAGGATATTTGGAGCTTGGAAGAAAAGTGAAGGAATAAAAGGGGCTTCACCTGTTTTTTGTGACTGTGTTTATTTTGTATCCCACCCTGGGTCATCATGGTTGTTAAGTGAATCTGGCTTCCCCATTGACTTTGCTTGTCAGAAGGTCACAAATAGGGATCACATGACCCTGGAATGCTGCAACCGTCATAAGTACATGCCAGTTGCCAAGCATCCAAATTTTGATTGTGTGACCATAGGATACCATATATCACAGTCATAGATGTGGAAAACTGTATAGGTCACTATTTTCAGTGCCATTGTGACTTTGAACAGTCACTAAACCAATGGATTTAAGTCAAGGACTACCTGTAGGAATAGGGAGACCCAGATTCTAGTCCTACCTTAACACAACATGCTGTTTTGAGGGTTTAGAGCCAGTTCCTTTCTCTCAGCTCAACTCACCGCACAGCATTGTGGGGAAAGTTACTGTGATGACCCAAAGGGGCGTGGCACAAAGGCAACAAAGTCAAATAAGCAAGAAGAGTCTCTTTAATTATCTCCAACTTTGCCCCCAATGTTTAGGTTATCTTTGGCTGGAGAAAACCTCTCTCAGGAACAGCCTTTAAGTGAATAAAATTCAGTATGAAAACTAAGTACATGCAAACTGTAACTAAAAATTCAAACAAACCATGTTGCAGTAATTAACTTGACAGGGCAGGAGAAGGAATTGCAGTCTTGAAAGCACAGCCAAACACACACAGTTGGGAAGACGCCAGGAACCCAGATACTCCTCCACGATACCAGATAATTCACAATTTGCTTCCAACAACTTCTCTGTGCGTAGCTTCCCTTTTTAAACACTGTGTTCCCAGCTGCAGCTATTGAAGGGAATCTGGGCCCTTTCCTCCCCCGTAAGCCACACATCTCATGTTGCTCCCTTTTCCGTTCCTCCCTGCATACCCTAGGATGAAGGGGGTGGCCCTGAGTCTTTCTCTGAATTCCCTCTACCTTGCTCTACCTTTCCCCTGCTCTGCCCAGCTGGACTTGCCCTTCGCCAGTTTCTTCCACAGCCAACGGAGCCACACTTCCATTCCCTGTCAGCTGCTCGGCTTCCCCCTCCGAATCAGATTCCGACAGGGGCATGACAGTTATGAAGAAGAGGCTCCTGAATGAAGTGTGATAGGAATCAAATAAATAACCACAGCGGGTTTTTTTATATATATATTTGCAGAGTAGGGAAGAATTTTTTAATGCATATATCTATAGCAAAAAACCCAATGGAGCATAATTGATACCATTAGTTAACTCAGGAGTGGGTTAGAAGTAATTGATGCCTATCCTAGAAATGATGGTAGAGCTTTTCAAGGCTACTTCAGTAATTATCGATCTTAGACTGGATAGTTCAATAAGGCATGGGGTTTGAGCAAATAGAAATATCCACTGGGCAAACCTAAAACTTATTTATGGACTCTTTAATGGGAAGCTTAAGAGTCACACAAAATAATATTATGTTGAGGAATGTACAATATTCAAGTGTACTCTTTGGGTTAACAAATAATTTACATGTTCCATTAGCCCAAGAGCAAACAGTTTTGATTTGGCCATGACGTTTATTTGATTGGATTCTTTCATTATTGTAAACACTCAATATTGTCTGACATAATTTAAAGAAATTACTTGAATAATATTATTGCTGTAGCACAGCAATTGGGCATTATGTAATTGTAAGTAATGGTGCTTCAGCCAGTGATTTAAAAAGAAAAAACAATATGGGAAAATAAAATTTTGCAGTACATAATTAAAAACCTCAGGTACAATTAATCTAACTATCCTCCTCATTGTCTATGGCATGATGTGAATAACTTCGCTAACACTGCTTTTTTGCTTAATTTAAACCTGATTGCTTCTAATCCTCACTAAACATTTTCAAAAAATTGCAGTAGTTTAGCCTGGCAACGTTTGTGATTAGCTGCAACAGCTTGAAATGGCCACTTCAAATACTGACAGAGGCACCACGTCTCGTGTGTTCTTGTGGTCGGGTAAGTATGTTGACTCTTTAACAGGTCTCTTTATTTTGTGTTTTGGGGTGATGTGGCTATATTAACCCAAGCAGACACTCTATTGATGAAAGGATGGCTGCTTATTGATGTGAAGTGTCAGCTTAAAAAGGGCTATTATGTCTGCCATGATTGATAGTTTTGATGATTGTTGGGACCTGGTCACAACCATGCCGATGCCATTCTTTCATAGTACAGTAGTCCTCGACTTGCATCTGCAATTGAGCCTAAGTTATTAAGTGAGACATCTGTTAAATGTCAGGGCTCTGGTAGTTACCCCTATTTAAATCATGAGTCTCTAGCTGGATTTTCAAAACTTAAAGATTTATTAGGAGTAAACATGCCGGCACTGCCTGGGTGTAGCCAACTCTGAGACACATCATTCATTGTCACCCTTGACCCTGGTTTTCCCCCCCACCCCCTGGGTGTATCATAATTCATATTCTCCAATGGGACACATCCATAGCCAAGAGTCATCAACCATGCTCTCCAGTTAGAATTTTGCACAGCAGAAACTTCAAATCAGCAAAATGTAAAAATCACCGAACCAGTAGTTACACCGGTCAGATCCCACCCCTGTGGACAACATAAACTTTTTCACAAGTTCGTGGTGGAGCTGATAATGATGCCAGAAGAAGATAGCATGTCCATCAGAACATAATAAAAGGATTTTTCCATTACATTGTAAGAAGAGTATGAAAAATGAGCAATCGTGGGTTTCAATCTCATTCTTTCGGACAGCACCTCAATTTGTTTTATCAGCTCACCTTACTCAGCTTATGAATATGATCATTATCCTTCAGCTTGCTTTCCCTGCACCAGAGAGAATGCTGCTTAACGATGAAATGTCAGAGATTTGAATTTCCAGGAAATGTTGGAGAAACGTGCCTGCAATACATGGCATGCAATCACAAGATATTTATGTGATTTCCCCTTTTTTTGTCCCAGAAGTGAGAGACTAATAAACAGACCCACCTGGTGGGGGGAGGGGCTGTTGATAATGCACTTATCCGCTTCACTTTCAATCCAGAATTAACAGAGTTGGAAGGGACCTTGGAGGTCTTCTAGTCCAACCCCCTGCTCAGGTAGGATACCCTATACCATTTCAGGCAAATGACTCTCCCATTTCTTCTCAAAAACGTCCAGTGTTGGAGCATTTACAACTTCTGGAAGCAAGTTGTTGGAATGATTAATTATTCTGTTAGGGAATTTCTCCCTAGTTCAGGGGTGGGATTCAATTTTTTTAACAACCGGTTCTGTAGGCGTGGCTTAGTTGGTGGGCATAGCTTGGTGGTCATGTGACTGGGTGAGCGTGGCTTGGTGGTCATGTTATTGGCTGGGCGTGGCCAACTCAACATCACTCACATCGAGGCACCATCTCCTTGCCTGGCCTCTCATGACTGTGGGGATGCTGCAACAGTCATAAGTGTGAAAAATGGTCATAAGTCACTTTTTGCAGTGCCATTGTAACTTTGAATAGTCACTCCACACAAGCAAAGTACCAAAGGAGGGGCGGGGGAAAAACTCCAGAGACGTTCCTGAGACAGGAAATTTATTCCTGCCAAGAATGTAATAAGGGTTAACGGAGAGTCAGTTTCCGTAAGCAATACCAGAATGTTTCCTTCCTGCCTTCCTTACAGGATTAGGCCAGGAATTTCTTCTAATAACCGGTTCTCCGAACTGCTTAGAATGTTAACAACCGGTTCTAGCGAATAGGTGCGAACCTGTAGAATCCCACCCCTGCCCTAGTTCTAAGTTGCTTTTCTCCTTGATGAGTTTCCACCCATTGCTTCTTGTCCTGCCTTCAAGTGCTTTGGAGAATAGCTTGACTCCCTCTTCTTTGTGGCAGCCCCTGAGATATTGGAAGACTGCTATTATGTCTCCCCTAGTCTTCCTTAAACTAGACATGAAAATCAAATCACAATTTGTGGAGATTTTGCTTTCCCTCAGTTTTTGCAGCCACGCGACCTCCTTTCTAGTAAAACAATTACATCAAATATTCAGGAGTTAGACTTCTAAATTATAAGATCTTTATTGCTTTAGATGTCCTTTTCTGAATGCCTTTGTGGAGTTGTGTGGTTTCTGGCTTTCTGTTTGGGTCCCTTGAGACCTGTTTAAAATATGCCCTGAATAAAAATTATAACTTTTCTTTCTCACTCTACATATTTTTCTTCGGTATTTCTCTCTCTCTCTCTCTTTTGATCCATGAATGAAGTGAACCTTTGGCAGTTCGTGGGTGGTTGATCTGAGGTCATGCCTCTAGTTAGAGCGAGGGCCTGCTCTATGACCTCACGAAGCCCTTGGGAGGTCTCTGCCAGTATGGCAGGTCATAAGGTCACAAAGTGTCATGTCTAGTTGTAGTAGTTGTTGTATATTTGCTTCCTCCGCTGTCATGACATGCCTGCACACTACTTATTCCCTCTTCCCAGGGATTATAATTTGAATGGGAACATATCACAGCAGCCTATCAAAACTAACAGTTTCCTGTATATTTTACACATGCTGATTTACAAAGGTGTTGATAGGAGGTTTAAAGTGCTTTGGGGTTTTTTCTTCTTCTTTAAACTGAGTATTGGGGAAGGGATTGGTAGGAAAACATTTTTTCATGTTTCCCTTGCTTCTCCTGAAGATAAGCAGTGACAGAAATTTGTGTGTTATCTCTGTGTGCTTCATTTGTAATAGAGTTATATTCATATCTTGATGGCACACTGTGGTTGCTGTAGAATGGCTGGCTCTACTAGGGGAACAGTAAATCTAACTTAACAAATAAATATAAATTCAATCCAGGATTTATTAAGCAGAGTATTTGACTTTTTTAATGGACAACATGTCATTAAATATGTTTTTGATTAAAATCTGTCACCAAAAATTGATATGTATCCTGATAATGTGACATATATAGTTGTTTCTTGCAGCTGGTTACTTATGGGAAGGTATCAGTTTGCTATTATTGTATGTGTATGTTTTAAATTCACACACTATTTCCTGTTTATTTTCATATGGGAAATGCAGTATTAGAAAGCTGGGTTCTTTATATTGAAACTACCTGATTAACCCCAACCTTGATATATGATTCTGAACTCCAGATGGGTTAAATGATAATTAACTTTAATGGCATCATTGGCTAGCTAACCCTGAAAACATTACTAGGGACAATAAAACAGCAATAATTCACAACTGTATGTTATAAATACAGAATTCATTGCAGTTCAAGAAAAATGGAAAAGTAAATTATGGAAATGCCCTTTCATTTAAGAAAGAGGAATAATTAGGTGCAATTAAAGGATATTTAGCATGTAGGAATGAAAGATACTCCTTGAAGATCTAGGACAACTCACCATGGCCAACTCATCATGGCCAACTCAACCATGGCGAATTGTCCCACCGCAAGTTGGCTGCAAAGAATTGGCTGTACCAAGTTGTCTCATTCAGCGAAGCAAGTGGTAACCATACTACATAAAGGAGGGATGACCAAGCTGAAAAGAAGGATAAATAAGGATAAGTAGTTGTTGCTCAAGCTAAATCTTAGTCTAAGCAAGAAATCCTTTATCCGTTTCCAATGGAGACCTTGGGTGAAGGAGGCTGATGAAAGTGAGTTAATGCTTCGATTTCTTGGAGATGCTGAAAATGGGGTCAGTGCATGCCTGCTACTGTCATGTGGATTATAACAGCTGAATGTGTTAAAAGAATATACTGAAAGTGGCATTTTCTTCCTAAAATAATAAGAGAAACAGAGACTATGTTTTGATTGTAATAACATATATTTTATTTCTATGTGGGCTGCAGATGGCAGATATCCTTGTAAGTATATGCTTTGCAGTACTTACCTGTCATTATATACTATATTCCACTCTGTTATGCATAGTTTCCATGCTTCAGCACTGTTGTTGCCACTCACATTTTAGAAAAAATGGTTATGGAAATACCTATGGGCAAACACTCTCTACCGCTGTATCTACTACAGATAGGTACTATTTGTAATGTCCATAGTATAAGTGAGCACAATTCAGTCAGTAAATAGTCACTAAGATAAAAATGACATGACCACAACTATCATGTTTTCACACAGGACAATGTACTGATAAAGGAGAATATTTTGTAGCTCAGGGTTGAAATGAGGGGTCCTTTGGGCTCTCTGAGCTTGGTGGTTTTCTTGCAGACATTTCATGACCCAGTCTAGGTAATATCATCAGGCTAGTGCTGACGATGTTACCTATTTTGGGCCATGAAACCTCTGCAAGAAAACCACCAAGCTCAGAGAGCCCTAAGGACCCCTCACAGGACAATGTATTTTGACTTGTGAATGCATGACAGAGATATGCTATGAAGGTCATAAACACAGGCATTGGTCACAAAGTTAGTGTTTCATCATTGTTGTAACTGCGAACAGTGACTGTCCGAAGCCGTTGCTAAGTAAGCACTGTTTGCATACAACTCACCATCCTAATCTATCCCAGGTGCTTATCTTGGGATCTTCTGTGCAGAAATATTGCAGTGAAGTTGAGCTACTCTCATGTGAGGAGCACAGTGGCTTACATAGTTATTAGGTATGCTGGGTTGACAATCAGAAATCCCGTGTTCGAGACCCGAAAGCTGCTACATGATAGGGCGAGCTCCTATCCTTCGCTCCAGCTCTACTGACCTAGCAGTTCAAAAGTGAGTAATTGCAAATAGATAGATAGATATGCCCACTTTGGTGAGCATATTAATAAGGACATGAAAGGAGCTTCTAACTGGGCATCCCTGGGCAGCAGTGATGTCACTGGCTAATCCTTTCAACCCAGAAGGGCCTTGGTGTTTCCGACACAAAAAACAAGCAAACTCACATATAAATCAGTATTAATGACCATTGGCTGCAAGGCAAATTCATCAATATAGGAAGATTATTATTGACGGCTTTGTCTGAAAAATCTCAGAAAAGAGAAGCAAAAAAACAGGGAGCAGTCCTATAGAACCATCCTTAAAAAAAATCTTCCCTCCCCTAAGGCTGTTACCACAAACCGTCTTAGGGTTCTGTGAATGTTCTTGTTTTTTTGCAGTAATGTTTGTTAATTTCCCCCAATTACTGCTTATACTACTTATTTATGTTAGTTTTATGTGTTTATTCAATTCCTATATCTGCCCATCTCAATCAAGGGATAATGGGCCGGATTATACTACTAGTAGTTGGAAAATACTTAATTCTGATAAGTTATATATTTATCTTTGGCTTTAGAAAATAATCAAGACCTTAGAATATGTTGACTTCATTTTCTCTTCCCCACAAAATGAGTCCTTATGTGATTTTCCAATTAGATCACATCTGTGGCCCAAACTTGTGCTGGGAGTGCTGTAAAGGAATTGTAATTTAATTAATGTATCTATTGATATAGTACTAGGGTTTCCCTATTAATAATTGATTCTGTGGGATAAAATGGCAAGGGGAAAGAGGCTGGCCTAGAGTAATTTAATCTGAGATTCATTAAGAGGCTTTTTAACGTAGCCCTTATACCTAGGAATGAAACCAACCAGTGCTATTTTCCAAGACTCTGCTTGCATTTTAAACAGGGGGCTTTCAAACTTGACTACTTTAACACTTGTGGACTTCAACTCCCAGAATGCCGGCTGGAGAATTCTGGGAATTGAAGTCAACAAGTTGCTAAGTTTGAAGAGCGCTTTAAAACCCTCAATATTGCCATGAGATGCATCATTTCCAAGGGAGTTTAGTTTAATTTAGTTTAGTTTAGTTCAGGGGTCTCCAACCTTGGCCACTTTAAGACTTGTGGACTTCAACTTTATTTATTTATTTGTTTGTTTGTTTATTTATTTATTTAATCAAACAATTATTAGATAACAGGTATAAGTATAAACATGGTTATAAATATATGAAATGGATTTGAATAAGAAAAAAAAAGAAACAACAGGACAGGGACAGTAGGCACAAGTTCCCCATAAGTGAAACAGACCACATTAAATAATGTGTGGTCAAGAGCTGAAAAAGGAAACCTGTTTTTAACAAATTCATACAAATAAATGGCTTCTGTCAATATCCCTTTTCTTCCTCAAGAGACCTCATTATAAAAGAACATGAAAATAGAGGGTTATGTTTGAGTTGAGAAAGGTCAGATTTTTCTTTGTATGTAGAGAAGCACCAAGGAATCATAAAATTAGATCCACTTGAGAGTACTGGGCTAATTTCCGCATGTTATTAATGTGAAAATTTAGTTTCAACTCGTTGTGAACCAAATCAACTGAATGTCTATGGAGATACTCAACCATCCAGGTCATGATTGTCCCAAAGGTGCCTTACCGAAAAGGCAAGTGGACTTTTATTATTTTTTGTCTTGAAAACATTTTGCTTCTCATCCAAGAAGCTTCTTCGATTTTAACTGAATGGTGGGGAATAAATAAATCCTTCTATTCCAAAGTGTTCAATCAGAACTGAAGAAGCTTCTTGGGTGAGAAGCAAAGTATTTTCAAGGGGAAAAGAAAACAAGAAAGTCCAATTGCCTTTTAAAAAGCATCTTTGGGACATAACAACTGAACATTCAAGTGCGTCTTGATTGATTCCTCAATCCACCACAAGTGGCCATTATGCATTGCGAGAGTATGGAGAGCATTAAAGAGTAACTCCTGGAATGCACGACAGTCGCCCTAGATTTATTTTGCAAGATTGGTCACCACCTATGTATTATTTGCTGATACTTTCAGAGTGTTTTCTAGATCTTCGACACTTCAGTAATAATCTTTTTCATCTCGGCTATTCTTTAATTCAGCTTGACTGCATACTGTAAGCTGGTGCAGAATTGGTTCAATTGGTTTTGATTGGATTGCATAAGTTGTTTTTCATACTTCATACCGAATTTCTCAATATGCAGGAAATACTGACCGGGTATTTTCCTGCAAAGAAGAATTCTAAAAAGTGGGTTTTCTCTTTTTCTCCACACAATCACCATTTTAACCGAAGGCTGTGTTTTTATTTCCGTGGATTCTCCTGGTTACCTTTTGGAAAAGTGAGGCATAATAACTGAACTCAATAGAAGTACGGTAAATAGAAGCAAATGTTTTTGTTTCTTTGCTGTGGTTGTAATTGAGGCCTCCTAATTTCTTCCTTTAGGCTCTGTATACGAGCCCATGAAAAGCATTAATCTGCTAAAACCAGATGCGGAGAATCTGTGGGATAAATTGGATCGTTACTATTGTATAGGTAAGTCACACAAAATTATTTTCCGCTTTGAGAACGTTGAAAGAGCAAAGATAAATAATGTTATGTTCTTGTCGTAAATGTAATTGGGATCATAAAAAAATTCAAATATTCCGTATTGCGCTGCTGTTGATTTGTTTCCTTCAATAATTACATGTAGACAAGATTATTTTCACATGATGCTTAATATTAGTAATGATCATGGCCATACAGTTACTTTTTAAAGATTATTCTGAAAATAAACAAGAAACTAACTATGCCATCTTGCTTGCCATAATGGTGGAATGAATATAGTTATTTGGGAAATGCTGTATTTTAAGAAATGCACTTTCTTCTTCTGAACCTGGTTTGTGATTTGTTTTAAAAAACAAATACTGTCTTTCCCCCAACTACTTCCTCATGTGGGAGTTATAAATCATTTTCAAAAGGAATATTGGCTGGTTGGTGGAATATTTAGCTTTGACCTTAATTTCTCAAGAACAATTGATGACTTCCTTCATGCCATTTAATAAAAATCTCCTCAATTTATATAAAGCCTAAACAAACAAATAATAATAATTTTCAAAAGGAGAGAGATTTGCAAACTTCTCTCAAATGGTTGGTTTAATCAGAAATCACAAATGGACAATAATTAGTTTTTTCCTTTCAATAACATTTGAATGATTACTGTTTAATAACTGAAAGTATTTATAAACTACTAAATATTTTGTTTTATGTTTGATGGAAAGATGTGGCTGCAAGACCAAAAGCATCAAATAATAAATACTATCAAACTGTCACATGTCTAGTTTCTTAGGATAGCTTTGCAACAAATGCATGCTGAAATATTCTGTTTTTATTTGGGAAGAGGAAAGTGTGAAAGTCCTCATCACTGCAGTGTGGATGGTAAATTTGTCAGATTGATTTCACCAGCTTCTGTTGTTTCCAACTTCTGTTCCTTTCACTTCACTTTTGCATGTTTTTTTTTTAAGTGTTGGTGTCAAAATGTAAATGCTTTTCCAGCATCATTCTCAAATGTGTATGTTTTTCTATGTTTTTCTCTCATTTATCCTGTCTACAGTTTTGCTTTATTTTTATTTTAAAGCATTTTTGTGTATGTCTTTCAAGATTTTGTATAAATGTTTGTGAGGGAACATTCCAGAAAGCGCAGGTCTATTTGTTATCCACAACAGACTATCTATAATGATTTTGGTCCTCAGTAGAACGATTACCCAACGTTGTTATAGATCCGCTGTAACATCCCAGGTTTTGCCTCATGGGAAAAAAAAAGATGCTTAAGTTTGAAAATGGTTTAGATAATAGTCTGTATGTTTCTTTGTTTCTCTTGGCAGTCAAGGCAACTGTGTTAGTTTTCCAAAGTCCGACCACTGGTCTTTTCCCCACAAAAACCTGCAATGAGAATCCAAGAGCAAAGATTCATGACAGTCTTTATTGTGCTGCGTGCGTCTGGGCCCTGGCCCTGGCCTACAGGTAAATGGAGGATGTCTTATGTTGTCTCTCTAATGGTATATTCCGCTTAAATCCCAAGGCCAAACATTGAGGGAGCAGCCAAAGAATTAAAACAGAGCCAAGTCTTGCAAATGTGTTTCTCAGAGACTTTGTTTTTGTGTGAAGAGATCGGGCTAATGGCTATTTTTAGAATTTGCCCCCCAAAATCTGGGTCCTCATTTTACCAACCACGGAAGGATAGAAGGCTGAGTCAACCTTGAGCCTTGTCAGAATCAAACTCCTGGCAGCGAACAGTGAGTTATCTTGCAATACTGCGTTCTAACCACTGCACTTTTCCCGGTGGCACTGCAACTTTGAATGGTCACTAAATGAACTGTTGTAAGTCAAAGACTATCTATAGGCAATGTCCTCTAACCAAATTCTTTAGTCTTGCCAATCCTGCTGTTGCAGGAAGAGAATGAATGACCATCCCACCTGCCTTGAGTACTGTAGTCTTAAAATAACCTGTGTTAAGGTAAAATAACAAAAGCTAGTGTTTAAAAATGCTTTCAAGTTATTCAAAATGCATGTTAAAACATAAATAGAACACATTTGTGTTATGATGATACATTAAACTAGGTGTTTTTGAATAACTTAATCAGTAGAACTCCCATACAGGTATCAACAATCAACCCCATTTGTTTCCTAATTATATAGCTCTTAAAAGTAAATAGAGCTGTACTATCTATTGTATGTCAGTATATTCTGACAACAACTTAATTTTGTTTGAAGGTTTATTTTGTATAAATGGCAAACAAAACTTTCTAGTTTTCTAGGCATTTATTTCTAGTTTTTTAGATTGTATCTTTATTATTTTCTATATCATCTTCTAGTTTTCAAACTTATGTTCTAAACCTTAAGTTTAAATCTTTCAACTTGGTATATATTTTACTAATTGGGTTTTTGCTAGCATTAGTTAGTTTTAGAATTTGGCATGATTTCATTCTTCGTTAACTTATGTTTAACTGACCTCTGTTTTTATTGTAATCTTTAATTTTGTACTTCTGTATATATCATCATCCTAGAAGCTTTGCCCAAAGGATTGCTTACTAGTGGTCCGAATAATAAAGTCTGCTGATTATTCTTGCCAATAAAGGACAATTATTTCGTAGATCAAGCCAGGGGTGTCAAACTCAAGGGTTGGGGACCAGGGCCGGCCCGCGGGGTGCTTAGATCTGACCCGTGGGGCCGTCCTGGAAACAGCGAAGGACCAGTCCGCGGTGCCTCTGCCAGTGGAAACGGAGCTTAGGGAAGCTGTTTAAGGCCCGCCCGAGCTCTGTTTATGGCCGCAACGGCCTCCTGCAGCCCTCTGCCAGTGAAAACAGAGGCCCGGGGACACCACACACTCCGTTTTTGCCAGCAGAGAACTGCAGAAGGATGTTGCGGTTGAAAATGGAGCCTTGATGAATGACGTTGAGCTGGCCACGCCCCCTGGCCATGTGCCTGCCCCCCCCCCCGCAATCAAACACAACCTGATGTGGCCCTCAATGAAATCGAGTTTGACACCCCTGTCTTAGATCAATTGTAATTTATAACTGTGCATCCAAGCTTTCTGCTTGACAATTCTGCTGCTAGAAGGATTGTGACACTGGCTCAAAAGTACTAGAATCGCTTTGCAACATAGGAAATTGCCTTGACAGTTGTGCATAAACCACAGGATTAGGTAATAAAAGGTTGAAGTTGCCAAAAAGGTCTTGTCTACTTTAAACTGATGTCTTTCCATTGAGATCTGTCTTGTGCTGTGACTATATGCTCCAGAGAGTTATAAACACAGCACAAAAAATCATCGGTTGCTCTCTTTCTTCTTTGGAAGAGATTGCAAAGACCAGACTCCTCTCTAAAGCACTAAAAATCTCCACAGACCGTTCTCATCCTGGACATTCATATTTCAATCTGTTACCATCAGGGAGGCGTTTATAGGTGTCTTAAAATGAGGACTAATAGATTGAAAAACAGTTTCTTTTCCAAGGCAATAATTGTCTTGAATCAAACAGTGCATTTGCGATTCAGTCCTATTATTATTATTATTATTATTTAAAACTCTTTAGTGTGATTATGATGTGGTGTTTGGGGCTGTGCAGGAATAGCTTTCAAATTTCATTGTATTCGTGGAATGCAATGACAATAAAGGTATTCTATTCTATTATATAATAATGTATAAAACTAAGGTAGCAGTGGAAAAAGGTCTGAAAATGTAGGTTAGTTTTCTGTTTGCAATGATTAAAACAGAGAAATAAAAAACACCAGTGCCAAATTCTCTGCATTATATTTATCTGGCTAGACACCAGCCGTACTACTTTCTACATGAATAGGCTCAGTCAATGTATTTCCATGTCAAATCAGTTAAGCCTTTTTTAGTTAAAAGAAGGTGATGCATTTAATTATCTTTTCTATGAAAGAAATAATTGAAAGAGGTTTGTTAATTACTTCTGTTTGCATGTTGCTCTGTTTCCAAAAATTCTTGAGTGGCATTGAAATAATTGCATAAAATTAAAACATAAAAAAATTTGATAGAAAATAACCACAAGGCCTTCAACTGGGCTGAACAATCTTCAAACCATATTTTTATGGCTCTTTGAAAATGTAATAGGGAGAGGTCGGCATATCTGAATAGCTTTATTAATTACACAGATCTTTTTCTCTGGGTTTTGTCTCAATAGTTCCCACATCTAGGATTCCATTGAAGTAACCGAGCAAAACTGAGCAAAAAAAGAAGATAAATAAATGAACTAAATGAAAATAAATAAACGATGGAATAAATAAGGAATAAATCATTGATAGTACTTTTGACACCCTGAATAATTAAATATAAAAGTGCCTTTTCTATAAAAGATGGTCAATTATAACACTAGTAGGATTCAGTGCAGGATGCTGTTGCCATAGCAACTGATGAACATACCTTAAAATCTGGGCTTTACCATGCATTGGTGCTCAGTCTGAACTTTCCACAAATCGGATAGGAAATATTTTAAAAACAACGTCAACCAAAACAAGAGAATAGATGCAGAACAGAGCAATGCATGGGTTATATTCAACCTGTGCTGGCACTCATTGCCAAAGTGATGGCATTTTGTCTCCCCAAAACACACTATTTTTTTGGATTTATTTCTATCGTTGGTTTTACCATTTTAAAATGTTGTTAAGTCCCCACTGAGTCTTCTGATTTGATCGGGCTGGTGCCTCTTTTCTTTGGCATTCTATGCTTGCATTTTCTTGCTTGAATGTAATGTGATATCTGAAATCAGTGGGTTTGATTTGGTTAAGACTATTTTTTACATAGTGCCTTTTAAAAAGCTGATTGATTCACAGTACATGCTACAGTCCTTAATTCCTTCTGACAGGGTTATTACCATTTTTGGATGGAACTGAGTGAGGTTTTAAATGCTTTTCTGTCTGAACATCAGTATGTTTTTAGACCAAGTGTGTTAGATTCACGTTGGAATTTAACAGCGATTATTGGGAATTTTTAACTGGCTACTTAGGTCTTTTTCTAACAACTTCAGAGGTCTTTGGTGTCTTTTAACATTTTCTGCCTTTCTCTTCATCATCATCATCTTCTTTTAATGACCCCATAATCCTTTGCGGGTTTAGTTAATTATTATTTTTTCCATCTTCCATATGGCAGTGCCCGGGAAACCATTTATTTTCCTTAGTCCAGGCTCTTTCCTTCAAAGAGTCATTTATAATTTCATTTTGATGCACAGTCTTTCCAATGCAGTGCAGATGATCTTGGCTTTATTTTTATTTTTTTAATTGAATTTTATTTTATTTATTTTATTTTATTATTTTAATTTAATTTAATTTTATTTTATTTTATTCCCGCCTCTATTACTTCGTCAGTAACTCAAGGTGGCAAACAAGCATAATACTCCTTCTTCCTCCTGTTTGGCCCATGACAAAAACTCCTGTGAGGTGAATTGCGCTGAGGCAGAGGGACTGGGCCAAGATCACCCAGCCAGTTTTCATGCTTAAGGTGGGACGGGAACTCACTGTCTCTCCTGGTGATTGGCCTGAAGTCAACCAGCTGGTTTTCTTGCCTAAGGCAGGACTAGAACTCACAGTCTCCTAGTGATCGGCCCACCGCGATCCAGCCAGTTTTCATGCCTAAAGCTGGGACTAGAACTCACTGTTTCCTGCGGATGGGCCCAAAGTCCAACAACTGGCTTCCATGCTTAAGGTGGGACTAGAACTCCCTGGCTCCTAGTTCCTAAGTCATCACCTTCACCAACTGGCTCAATCAGAACAGAGCTGGACCTTGGAGGTCTTCTAGTCCAACCCCCTGCTCAAAGCAGGAGATCCTATATCATTCCAGACAAGTGACTGTCCAGTGATGAAGCACCCACAACTTCTAAAGGCAAGCCATTCCACTGGTTAATTGTCCTCGCTGTTAGAAAGTTTCTTATTTCAGTGAAGGCTAGCTTTCATTTTGGTTTAAATAGTGTTCTCTGCTGGTTTTGAAAGCTGGGTAGCTTTTCCCCCCCACCGCCTTCATTTGAAATACTGATTTACAAGTGGCTTTTTCCCCCCTCCCCTCACAATTATTTTTTTCTTGCTGAGACTAATCTCCTTTCCAAGCTTTTCCTATTCATTTTCTCCCCTAATGATAGGTGCTCGCCTAAAGTACCCTTGGTAACTGCAAATCGAAGCCCCACTGTTCTTAACCGGTGGAATGAATACCTAAGGTGTTCTGCTGAATTGCAGTCGGGAAATGTCAACTTTCAAAATGTATATCTTTAATTTAATTTGTTTGTGTTTAGGACTACTATAAAAACACTCGGCAATAGACGTGTTAAGCGGAATATATTAAAAATCAGATTAAAAAGAGTGCTAGGGCTTCCATTGCCTTTACTTATATGCACATCTTGAAATTGTTGATGGAGGGGTTAAACACGTCATAAGTTACGAGTCCCCGTGTGCCCATCTTGACTGCCTTCTTAATTCCTGCTTATTTCCCTTGACCGTTAGTAAGTCAGATTTTTGTAGAGAGCTTAAGCTTTTGGCAGTGGTTTGCCCTCCAACCTTGTTTCAATTTTTTGGGGAGCTTAAGCTTCCAATAAATCTTATATTCATTTAAACTGCCTGAATTTTCCGGTTTCCCTGGGCTTTTGACACCTTTTTGGGCATTGAAATGTTTGTTTCTTTCACCCTGACAGTATGAGATCTCAAGTTTTGAAGATCGATGCAGATCTTAGGGAATCTTTCTAATAGTTGTTTGCGCTCCTTGGTCCAGTGCTTTAGCTTTTTGGGACTTGGGACTTAGCATTCTTTTACATATAGACAGCATTGGAAAACAGCATTAATAAACTTCATCATATTTTTTTTGGATTGATGGGACTCCCGCTGAATGATCTGTCTTTGACATTGAGAGAAAAATGATCCCCACACAAGAAGCAAGATGCTTTTTTATTATAGCCTGTCTATTTTAAAATGCTCCTGTAGAGAGGTTTTGTTATTAATTTGCTTCTGAATCTTTTTTCTATTGTGTCATCTCTTCTGATCATTGATTTTGTTATTAATAATGTTTCTGCTCTGAGGGTTTGTGATTAATGTTTTTTTTTTTGAAAGGCAGTGAATGCTTAGGGTTTTTTATTGCACATTAACCACATGTATTTCTTAAAAATTCACAAAACTCTAGCGGGAATAAATTTAAAAGAAGAAAGAAGGGATTAATGATTCAATAAAGAGTATCTGTAATATGAGGAAAGAGCCTTTAAAGTGGTAAAACAAAATCAATTGATGCCAATTTTATGTATGCTTGAAAGTGATTCCTACTGCATCCAGTCTCTCTACAGTGGAACCAGAGAGTTTTAAGAATGTCCCTTTTCATTCATTCATTCATTCATTCATTCATTCATTCATTCATTCATTCATTGCATTTTGGAGCCATCCATCTCCTTCACAAAAGGGACTCTGGGCGATGTACAAAAAAAGATTGAAAACAGTACATGAAAATTAAGATTTAAATGAGGCAAAGATTTAAAGGAGGCTGTATGTAGCTGTATTTCTCAACCCTTTGCAACTTTAAGATGCATTGATTTCAACTCCCGGAATTTCCCAGCCAGCACAACTTTAAGAGTTCAAATTGTCAAGCTTGAAAGACATTGCCCATATACCCTGAGAAATACAGACTTTATATGTCACTTCCTAAGATATTCCTGAACACCTGAGCCTGCAGCAGTCCCAAAGCTATTGCACTATAAACAGTCAAAAATTGGTGGTCCATGACAGCAATCTTTAGGGGAAGGTTTGAACCTCATAGAAAGATCTGTGGCTATGTATACAGTACCTGAGGACTCCCACAAAGAACAAAATGTGGCCTTGTGAAACAGTTATTAGCAAAATTAGCAATATTTGAAGGGCTGTCTTAGCCCGGTCACATCTAGCTGACTTATCAGACTATGGAGGCAAGGAATGCGGTGGGCCCTTTCTCCCAAGGAAGTACATGTGTGAGCCAGCAATGTGCAGCAGCAGCCCAAAAAGCTAATGCAATCCTAAGTTGCATTAACAGAGGGATACAATCAAGATCAAGTGAGGTACTAATATCACTCTATAAAGCCTCAGTAAGGCCACACCTGGAGTCCTGCATCCAGTTTTGGTCACCACACTATAAAAAAGATGTTGGGACTCTAGAAAAAGTGCAGAGAAGAGCAACCAGGTTGATGAGGGGACTAAAACATATGAAGAACAGTTACAGGAACTGGGCTTGGCTAGTCTAGTGAAGAGAAGGACCAAGGGAGGCAGGACAGCAGTCTTCCAATATTTGAGGGGCTGCCCAGAAATGAAGGGGTCAAGCTATTTTCTAAAGCACCTGTAGGCCAGACAAGGAACAATGGATGGAAACTGAACAAGGAGAGATTCAACTGGAAATAAGGAGAAACTTTCTGACAGGGAGAACAATCAACCGATGGAACAGAAGTTGTCCTCGGAAGTTGTGGGAGCGCCATCACTTGAGACTTTCAAGAAGAGATTGGACTCCCATCTGTCAGAAGTAGTGTAGGGTCTCCTGCTTGGGCGGGAGGTTGGACTAGATGAACTACAAGGTCCCTTCCAACTCTGATTATCTGTTATCTGTTACATCTAGTGGGACCAAGACGAAGGGCCTTTTCTGTGGTAGCTCCCTCCCTGTAGAATATCATCCCTGCAGAAATAAGATTGGCTCTCATTTTGTCACCCTTTCACAAGGCCCTGAAGACCTGGTTTTGCCACGGACTTGGGGAACCCAGAGTGGGATGGACCCCATCAAGTGGCTTGTTTGACTGGTTGTTGTCACCCTGGGAAGTGGGGTTTTAATCATTATTTATTGTTTTTTATGTGATAATTTTTAATCTTTATAAGCAGCCTGGAGTCACTGAGAATGAGTTGAGCAGCCATCTAAATGTCCTTAAATAATATCAATTTCAAGCATCATTATCGCACAGACATTTGTCAAATAATTTTCTTCTTTTCCATTTTACAGCTCATAATGATATCTCCGTATATTCTTTAAAATAGGAAGACGGAGGGAAACAAAAATTTCTTTGCAAGACTGACTTGTCTTCGTTTTATGAACCCGCACTTCATTGTTGGCTTAGTTGTTGACTCTTTTTTTTTAAAAAAAGAGTTGGCTTTATTCTAGAAAGGTTGATCGGGCCAGAGAATATTCAAGTTCGTTCATGCCACTGTATCAAAACAGCCTTAATACTTAATTATTAAAAAAAAAAAGGGTGGTGGTGGATATGGGTGCTTTCAACTGCCTTCTGAATGGATTTCTAATTTGTTTAATGGGTTATCTCTCTTATTCAGGCGTATTGATGACGACAAGGGACGAACCCACGAACTGGAGCATTCTGCTATAAAATGCATGCGAGGAATTCTCTTCTGCTACATGCGTCAGGCTGATAAGGTAAAACGTTGCATCATGGATGGAAGCAGACACTTAATTCTCAAGGATTAAGTTAATTGTAAGCGTTAAAAAATGTTTCGGGTGCAAACAAATTAAAAGGACCATAGAAGTGACGCCAGTTTGCATGCTGCCAGAAAAAGTTTTATTTCTAGGCTCTGGCCAATCATATAGTTAAAAGCCACAGATGAAGACATGTGTGGCAGCTTTGGAAGCCATATTAGCACCAAAAGCTTCCACGCTGCCACATTCTTGAGCCTGGGAAGATGGGAGGGGGGAATTGCATGGAGCGGATGTGATTAGACATAATAGCATTCTTTGTCAGAGTCAAGGTCATGTTGTTCCTGCACCTGGCTGAGGAGGAGTAGAGAAGAGGTCTCAAGTTGGGATGGATGGTGATTGGGGCATGTGATGGAATGATGGGGGAAGGGAATGGATTTGTAAAATTTTACTTATTGGAGGGAAACCCGGAACTTTCAGATTTGGGATTTCCCAGATGTGCTAGTTTACTACTCTAATAAAAGGGAACTTTGAAAATATGTCTGGTTCAAAGTTATCTGTTGGAGTCAAGGTTTTCTGGAACGCTGACCTTATCCCGGATCTTCTCCCATCATCACATCACATGCCCCAATCACCATCCATCCCAACTTGAGACATTCCCTGTATTCCTTCTCATCCAGGTGCATAGTAAATCAACTATTTAAAATCAAGCCCTCTTTTAATTACATTTAGAACTTGAACCCGGGGCAAACCGGAGACTGCGGGTTGATCTATTGTTGTTGGAAAGGCATACAGGAAGTCTTTGACTTACGACTGCAATGGAGGCCCAAATGCATGTTGCTAAGTGAGACATTTGTTAAGTGCATGTTGCACCGTTTTACGACCTTTCTTGCCATCGTTGTTCAGTGAATCACTGCGGTTGTTAGGTTAGCAACACGGTTGTGAAGTGAATCTGGCTTCACTGTGGACTCTCCTTGTCAGAGGTCGCCAAAGGGGATCATGTGACCCTGAAACATGGCGACCGTCATAAACATGAACTAGTTTGTATCATGTGGCTCTGGGGGTGCTGCAGCAGTCATAAGTGTGAAACGTTCATAAGTCACTTTTGTCAGTGCTGTTATAACTTTGAACGGTCACTAAATGTCTTAGATAATCGTGTTTCAGATTTCATTTTAGCCAAGGTGCCTCTCTTAGTCGAGGCAGGAGCGCAGAAAAACGAAATGTCCCTGTTTAGATGAGTTTCCCTAATGACATCCTTTCAGAGGATTTTTTCTGAAAGCAAGATCTACATGGAAATAAGATTGTTTTAGCTGACAGTGCTCCACAGGATCCGATTTTTGAAATAGGCATCTTGGATGAGAATACAATGCCCAGAAGGAAGGCATCAGAATACCAAACAAATATAAAAGTTAATATTTTCGCTTGATGGCAGGGCTATTTAACAGTCCTATATAATTTGTCTATCTAGCCTTGACATCACGCATCATTATCATGAAATATCTTTTCAAACTGTGTGCTACAATAGAGGTAATCTCATTCCAAAATGCATAGTTGTGTTAATGGTCCCAGTCAGTGCAGACACATAAAAAGCCAACTCATTTCCACACATCTGATGGGTTTTGAAGAAGTAGTTTAATATACCTGATCATTACACCTTGATAGCTTCATTTTATTTTCCTGACCCATGTCAAGAGCACAAAGGTTTGATATTAAATACGGGTATGTTGTGCTTTGCTTAAACAAAAACTCAGTCAACACAGGTAAGTAAGTTCTGCTACCTTGTTTTTCTGTTAGCTTTCAACCTCTAGCTAATCATAGTTTAAAATTTCTTTTGGCATAGTAAATTATTTTTTCTTGATGTTGCACAACGCTAAGCAAAGGGATATAAGAACGAACAATTGGTAGCAGATGCTAACCTGTAAAATTTGCTACTGATTTATCTATGATGTTTCTGTTTTTTTTTCCTCCTCCAATACTGACAAGGAGACATATGCCAGCAATTACTCAGCGTTATTCTCCTGATATTTGGGGTGGCAGGTGTGATGAAACAAACCTACCTTTTCAACACCTCAGCACCTGAACTTACAGAAATGGCAGGCAGAGTCTGTCACCTCTTATTTTGTAGTGCACCTCTGGCACAAAAGAGAATACAAATTAAAGTGGAATTGATGAAAGAAAAGCAGAAAAGAAAGAAAAGAAAAGTGAGATGGACCAAGGATTTTTTTTTTTAAAGAAAGGAACAAAACAAAACTTTCAGAATATGGCCAAAAATATCCTCCAACTAACCTATGATGAAGAAAATAATATCCTATGCCTATAGAATTCAAGTTTTAATATTGATGAGAAGTACCCTCAAATTATTTAGTTTTGGCATCATTTAAAGACATGCTAGAATATACCAAAACTGTTGAAGTCTTCGAGACATCCTTATATCTTGGGAACTTCAGGGTAGGCCCATGGCATTTTCGTGACACGAACCTGAAGGATTTTGCTGTTGCCTTCTTCCAGAATGTTCTTGGCTTTCCAGGTCCAGCCTATGGCCCTGGAGTCCTCTGGTGATCTTCTAGCTAAGGATTGAAGAAGCTTCATCTTTTTTCCTTCTGAACCTCAAGCAGCTTTCTGCCCCCTGCTGCATTCCCCTCAGAAAAAGGAAGTGCACAAGCAACTCTTGGTTCAGCCTACTCATACCCAGACCCTTAATGGATTTTTATTATTTTATTATTTGAATTTATCAGCCACCAAACTCCAGACTTTCCAACCCGTTTGCAAAACTGTACATATCCTAACTCAGATCCCCATCGTGGTGCTCTTGAGAACACCCTGTTGTCACCCTGCTCCTTCTGCTCTTTTATCATTTTAAAGGCATTTTTAAACAAGAAAACTTAAATCAGAAGGCTAACGTCTTCTTTTTACGATTCAGGAGCCTATTTTAAATATAATTCTATGGGAGAAACATATGTGGGCGATGTGGGTTTTAGAAGTATGAGGTAGGTAGGTGCAAGGGTGGGGTGCTACTGGTTCTGCCTGGCTCAATAGAACCGGTAGCTCTGAAGAGCAGCAGACAATGAACCGGTTCTGTGTTTGCTGCTGTTTGGCCCACATGCCTGCCCGGGCTCTGACCTGACCTTTATTTCCTGCATTTTCAACCTCAGCTGCTTTGCGCGGCACAGCTGAGTTTGAAAAAGCAGGAAAAAGGCATTTTTTAACTGCTGCACACCTGTGCGCAGTGCTGCTCAACTGTCCAGGCAGCAAGCTGACGACGATTTACACACGCGTGCAGCAAATCGTAAATCACCGAACCGGTAGTTATACCGGTCAGATCCCACCCCTGGGTAGGTAGGTAGAGAGGTGGAGAGAGAGAGAGAGAGAGAGAGAGACCAACAGACAGACACAAGTAGGTATGTGGGTAGGTAGACAGGCAGATAGACAAGCAGACACAAGAAGGGTAGGTAGGTAAAGAGGCAGATAGACACAGGTAGGTAAGTAGAGACCCAGATAGAGACAGACAGAGATAGGTAGGTAAGTAGATGGAGAAGCAGAGAGAGACAGAGAAACACAGTCACAGGTACGTAGGTAGAGAGGCAGACAGAAAGAGACAGACAAAGGTAAGTAAGGAGGTAGAGAGGCAGATAGAGACAGAAAGACACAGGTAAGTAGGTACGTAGACAGAGCGGCAGATAGACAGACAGAATAGGTAGGTAGATGGAGAAGCAGAGACAGATAGAAACACAGACATAGGGAGGTAGGTACAGAGGCAGACAGAAAGAGGCAGACAGGTAGGTAGTCAGGTAGGCAGAAAGTCAGATACAGAGAGACGTAGGTAGGTAGGTAGGTAGGTAGGTAGAGAGGCAGGCAGGCAGAAACAGATAGATATAAAAATATGTACACAAAAGCTACTCTCTAGTTTCCTGCTTTGTGGTTCTGAATTGTAAAACAAATCCTCAGATCACTTCATTGCTTTTGGGTCTGATGGTAATTGAGATAGGGTGACAGGCTGACCCAAGTAATAGCCAGAAAGATGATGGGAAACGTGGACTGGAGGTCCTGCAAGCAGTGAGGTTCTGGGGTGACAGTATGGTAGGAACACATAGTTGTAGGTGGGAGCTTTAGAACAGAATTAATTAATTTATTTTAATGGCTTATTTAAGGAAATGGATATGGCTGCTGACTCACACTCAGTGACTTACAGGGATAAAAGTCCAACACCAAAAGTAATAACCGACAATCTCCTTGGCGACAACAATCAGACAAGCCCCTTGATGGTTTCTGTATCCCTCTGGGGTTTCCAGAATGAACACTGCAGATCAAAGTGTGTGCAAAGGACAGCAGTGAATCACGACGGTCTCGTGGCGAGTGACACTCGTGTGGAATCCCATTACGAAGCAATATTTCTGATTGGTGAACAGAGAAATGTTCATTGCCCAGGAAAATAGTTATAACTCTGGTTCTTGTCGTTTTAATGGTTTCCTATACTGCCGTACTGCCTTTTGTAAGCGGTTTCGCATTGCTGCCTGATTGTGTTAATATTGCTCTAATTATGTGATACGGCTTTTCTTTTGATGGCTGGCATTGAGTTTCTGCTGTAAACATCCTTGAGTATTTGTGAGAAGGTATAGCATTGTTCCCTAAGCATAGGACTTTTTAAAAGCAAAAAAGGCTGTATTTTTTCTGGAAATCCGTTCATAATCCCACACCACTGAAAGGGGATTCGTCCCAAAGTGCATGGCTAAAGGTCTATGGAGATTCTCAGTCAACCAGGCCATGGTTGTCCCAAAGAAGCTTCTTCAGCTCTGACTGGATGGTGGGGAATGGAAGGATTTATATTCCTGGCAGACAGCTGGTCATTTGCATCCTTTTAGAGGGTCGTTGAGGCCATCTGTGTCCTCAGGGTTGCCTGAGTAGTGCAAAGAAAAATTGCAGACTACAGGAACCATTTTGTGCTATTCAGGTGACCCTGAGGACACAGGTAAAGCTCCAAGTGGCCTCAACGGCTCTCTAAAAGAATGCAAATGATCAGCTCTTTGCAAGGAGTAAAATCCTTCCAGTCAGAACTGAACAAGCTTCTTGGACAAGAAATGAAACGTCTTCAAAGAAAAAGCAAGAAAGTCCAGTTGCCTCTTGAAAAAAAGCACCTTTGGAACAACCATGACCTGGAGGACGGAGAATCTCTATAGACTCTGTATGGGGAAAGACTTGGTCCTCTCTAGATAAAAAGACATTTTTGTATTCACCATTCTTTCATAAGTGCCAAGATGAAAATGTGCAAAGTAACAGCAGGACTCCCTTCCTCTTGATATCCCTCCAGGGAAATGGTTTTTTTAAAAAAACAAACAAAAACAAAACAAAACAAAACAAAACAAAACATAATATTTGCAAGAAAGAAGAAATTGCCTTTGGTTCAATACTGTGTTTGCCATTGCTGCATTTATATTACACAACATGATGCTTTTCCAATCTACCCTTCTGGGAAGCAGTTTTAAACCCTGACATTTTGCCAAGAAGAAGTATCATTGTAACAAGTCCTGCTGCAAAACTCATGGTGCTTTTCTTAGAAATCCAACTCTGGTGATGTTTAGTGGCTCGTGACACTTCATGTTCGTAGTTTGACTCATCCAAATGTTTGTGTAATCTTTTTCCCCCCTCCAGGTTCAACAATATAAGCAAGATCCTAAGCCCTCCAAATGCCTGCATTCTGTTTTCAACGTCCACACAGGTGATGAGGTCTTTTCTCATGAGGAATATGGTCATCTACAGGTACAAAATAATGTACCTTTGTTTCTTAAATCTATTACAGAGCTAGAGTGAGTTTGAATATTTCCTTCCTGCTGTTTATTTAAAGGCTACCGTTCTTTTAAAATGTCCTCAATTATGGAGCTTGACAAATTGATTTTCCTGCTTTTAACCCACCAACAGCATGCTGTTTTGTAGTCTTGATTTGTTGCTTTATAATTCAGTGTAAACAATACCAGGGTAATGGCCAAAATGAATTGTCGCTGTCTTTGAAATGCAACAAGCTTGGATTTGTGAAGACAGACCTTAAAATATGTTTGCAGATTGATTTTAAGAATTGCTGATCTGGATACTCTGTTATGCTTGGTGAATCAATTCCCCCTTCCAGAACACCGCCAGCCACTTAATTAAAAGTTAATTGATTTTTAATTTAATTCTTAGTTTTCTTTCCTTCTGTTGTGGTCCGTGGACAGCCTGCGGAGATGGCAGCAGAGTCGGACGGTGGGGAGGAACATGGGCCAGTCCAGGAGTCTGGGGAGGGCTCAGATGAGGGTCCTGCGTCTGATACAGAGATGAGGCCAGGGCCATCTGGGAGTTATGTCCTGACTCCGGAGCCTCCAGAATCTGACAGCAGTGAGGCAGAGGAACAAGGGGAGCCTGGTACCAGTGCGCATATGCGCAGACCTGCCAGAAGGCAAGAACGGTTAAGACAAACGGGGCAACTCGGGAGTAAGGCTTGGAGGTGATTGTCCCCTCCCAGAAGACATAAAGGAGGAGCAAAGGGACAGGAATCTTTGCAGGAAGCAACTTTGCTGGTACTGGTCAGTTTGAAACCTGAAGCTCGGTGTTGAATTTGTGTTCCATTTTGGCCTTATATAACTAATTGGACATTTAGTCATTGGCAGCATTTCAAGGAAGATAAAGGTGTGTGTTTATCAGACTTATTCTGAAGGACTAAAATTCACAGCCATTGAAATAAAGAAAAAAGAGTTTGGGGACTAATGTGTGTTTGTTAGTGTCTCCATAAGCCTTGGTCAGAACTTAGTGCAGGTGCCGGATTTTGGATTGTCAGATGTCAATTTTACCTGGGATTGCAGTGCAGGTAGTCCTCATCTTACAACCCCATAATTGAACCCCAAAATTCCTGTTGCTAAGTGAAACATTTGTTAAGTGAGTTTGCCCCCATTTTAGGACCTTTCTTGCCACTGTGATTTAAGTGAGTCCCTGCAGTTGTTCAATTAGTCAAACTGTTGAATCTGGCTTCCCTATTGACTTTGTTGGTCAGTAGGTTGCAAAAGGGGAATCATGTGACCCCAGGGAGACACTGCAACCATCATAAATATGAGTTGATTGCCAAGCATCCGGATTTTGATCACATGACTATGGGGATGCTACAATGGTCGTAAGTATGGAAACTGGTCCTAAGTCACTTTTTTCAGTGCCGTTGTAACTTTGAATTGTCACTAGATGAACTGTGTGTCAGGGCTCCAAGAAATCCACCCCCATTCAAATCAAAAGTCTCTAGCCGCATCTCAGAGAAAATTAAATTGATTTATTAATTGATTATCTCAGCTGTGGCTAATGAAGGGAATCAGGGCCCTTTCCTCCCCTGTAAGTCATGCAACCCACGTTGTTCTCTTCTCTGTTTCTCCCTGCGTGCCCTAGGATGAAGAGGGGGTGGGCACGGGTCTTCCACTGAACTCCCTCTCCCTTGTTCTACCTCTTCCCTGCTCTGCCCAGCCAGACTTTGCCCTTCTGCAGTTTCCCCCACAGCCAACGGAGCCAAACTCTCACTCCCTGTCAGCTGTTCGTCTTCCTCCTCGGATTCAGACTCCGACAGGGACATGACAGTTCCCTTCCAATTCTGTCAATCTGTTAAATACAATATTGTACATTATAATACAGCAATGGTATTTCCTGCTGGGCATAGTTTGGATTTGGAGCTGTGCAGTTTGATGAATTTTAGGCATCACATCACAAATTAATTAACTGCTATGGCCGCTTTTGGTTTGGGGAACCTAGTTTTATTTTTTCCAACGCTATTTTTATTGCTTATGTTTTCATGGGGAATTGCTGTGGCCAGGCAGTGGTTTAACCATAGTGGTGTTGTTATGGCTTGCCTCCTTGAAAGAGAAGAGAACTGAAGGATTTCATTTGGAAGGCTTTTTGATTCTTTATCAGGTGAACGGTTGTCATTCCGGTGTGTTGTGAAGTGGGCAGCCTTTTGATGTCTTGTTGTTTCCTTTGACGTTATTTCCCAAGCAATAATAATCTTGTTTAGAAAAACTGCCGTAGCAGATGAGGCTGGCATCTAGGAGATAATTATGTCAACAGCAGAAAAACAGCTTGTTTTTCATAAACGCAATTCAAATCTTACGTATCAGAATGGTGAAGATGGTGCAAACGAAGATTTCCCTCTGCAGGAGAGATGGAGGACTTCTCTGGCTGCTAATCTTTTTTCTTTGTATAATTTTCACCCAGGGGTGTTTCTCGCTTCCTTTGAGGACTGACGGATTAGATTTCCTTTGGATTGGATTATAGGTAGACCCATAGTCGAGGCCAAAATTTCGGTGAAACATTGGCTAAGTGAGTTTTGCCCCATTTTACAGCCTTTCTTGCCCTAGTTGTTAAGTGGATCACTGCAGTTGTTAAGCGAATCTGGTTTCCCCATGGACTCATTGTTCTGACCAAGGCTTCCTAAGACAGCAACAATCACATGCTTAGTCCCAAAGCCACCCCCTCCTTTTAAAAAAAATTTCAACGGCTGTGAATCATATTTATTCACAACCCGTAATAATGAGTCCCAAATAATTTGAGAAGAGTCCAACAGAGGTCTGCCACAGTCCTTCAGGATAAGACTGATAAGCACCCAACTTTATCTCCCTTGAAATGCTGCCAACGACTAAATTGCCAATTAGCTGTATAAGGCCAAACGGAGCACAAAGTCAACACACAGCTTCAGAGTTTAAACTGACCAGAACGAACAAAGTTGCTTCCTGCAAAGGCTCATGTCCCTTTGCTCCTCCTTTATGTCTTATGGGAGGGGCCAATCATCTCCAAACCTTACTTCTGAGTTGCTCTTTTTGTCTTAACTGTTCTTGCCTTCTGGCAGCTCTGCGCAAGCACACACTGGGAATAGGCTCCCCCTGTTCCTCTGCCTCGCTTCTGTCAGACTCTGGAAGCTCCGGAGTCAGCACATAACTCCCAAATGGCCTTGGCCCCATCTCTGTGTCAGACGCAGATCCATCGTCTGAGCCCTTCCCAGGCTCCAGGACTGGCCCATGTTTCTCTCCACTGTCCAACTCTGCTGCCAGCTCCTCAGGCCACCAGCAGACCACAACAATCATGTCATTACAACTCAGGGACATGCAAAAATTATAGTAGGAAGCTCCCAGCTCCTGAGCCCATTGAGGGGTTATCAACCTCTTCTAGATACGTGCATTTATTTTCCATTTTACACCTGTTATTTTCATTCCTTCTGGTTTTACCAGACACACACACTGCAGGCATCACAGTATGTGCTGGCTAATTTTTTTTCTTCTTTTGACAGGATTATTTCTTTTATCTTTTCCTTTTCCCTCCATCCAGATAAATGCTGTATCCCTCTTCCTCCTCTACCTGGTGGAGATGATTTCATCTGGCCTGCAGATCATCTACAACACAGATGAGGTACGAATGAGCCAATTCCATATCTCACGAAAGCAGACTGGAGGAATTTTACAGGCTTTTAAACAAAATGGAAAAAAAAATCCTTTTCCTTGGGTATTTTCTGAAATAGCTGAATTAAATTACAATTGGAGCAGTGTTTTTTCCCCCCTTTCTTTCTTGCCCTGAATGATAGCAAGAAACTATTTCTGTTACTATTTCTGTTAACCATTTCAAGGTTAGGTCAGCAGTGTCTGAAATGTAGCAATTTTAAGACTTGTAGACTTCAACTCCCAGAATTGTCAAGCCAGCCATACTGGCTGGAGGAATTCTAGGAGTTGATGTCCACAAGTCTTAAAAGTTGCCACATTTGGAGATCCCTGGGTTAGGTAAGTGTGCCATGATGGTTCATAAAGCATAACGCTTATTTAATACCAAACACCATTTTCTTCCCTCGTCAAATAATAAATGTTTCCTAAATATCATTTCTGTTCCTAATGTTTCCTAAATATCATTTCTGTTTCTTTTTAAAAGGAATCTCTATCAATAGCAGCATTTATATTCTCTTGCACGCAGTGGGGTTGTTAATGCCTGCAGAGATTTCCCTGCTCATTCCAGAAGTGCCACTTAAAACAGCTTCTAAAATGTGTGTAGAATCATCACGAATGTGTAATGTGAGACATGACTTCCATATAAATGCATATGAAACTTAGATCTGGAGAAATTCAAGGTGGAAGGATTCCCACACTTGAAGTGAAGTTACCCTAAGTTTTCTGCATTAAAGCACTTTTTAAAAAAGCCTTTAGTGATGTGTTTCAACTCTATACTAAAATAAACCTGGCTGTAAACAGGCCTTGACAAGAGAAGAAAGATTTTCCTAGGTCTCTTAAATCCAGCTGTCTGCACTTCTCAGTAATCTGCATAAACTCTTTTATAATTGAGAAGTATTGACCTGAAGGCTCCCACTGGTTTATTTCCTCCAGTAGTGAGTTTTTGGTTTTAATTATATTTATGCTTACTTTTCAGTTCTTATGGCCCCAAATGTGGCAGGTTTTCTAACAATAAAAGTCAGTGGGATTTGTAAGGCTGCATATAAAAAGTGTCAGGTTAGCCTGGACTAGAAGTCTCCCTCCCTGATTTTCGGGGTGGTGGCATCATCTGAGAACATCTGAGACATTCATACTAAAATGAGATTTGGATAAGAAATTGGCTGGCAGAGGTCCCACTTTCAACCATTCCTCCATACCTGATTGCCTCTTAAAATGGGGTTGTAAATGCTTGAAATAAAGAGAAGAAGAGGAGGGGAGAAAGAAAAGGAGAAGGAGAAGAAGGAGGTGGAAGAGAAGAAAAAAAGGAAATGGAAATGGTGGAGGAAGAGAAAGGAAAGGAGAAGGAGGAGGTGGAGGAGAAGAAAGAAGGAAAAGGAGGTGGAGGAGAAGAAAAAGAAGGAAAAGGGGAAGGAGGGAAGAAAGAAGATGAGGAGGAGAAGAAGAGGAGGAGGAAGAAGAAAAGAGGAAGAAGAAGAGGAAAGAAAGAAAAGGAGAAGGAGAAGAAGGATGTGGAGAAGAAAGATGGAAAAGGAGGAGAAGGAGATGGTGGAGGAGGAGGAGAAAGAAAAGGAGAAGAAGGAGCTGGAGGAGAAGAAAGAGAAGGAAAAAGGGAAGGAGGAAAGAAAGAAGAGGAAGATTCCTCTTGCTCAGTTACATGTCACATACTCTGCATTTGTCACTAACTCCGAGTAGTTTCATCCTGACAATATTCCCACTGGTGTTTGCTCTGAGCCCTGGCTCCTCCCCCTTTTCCCTCCCTTGATTTCGCATTTAGACTAATTCCTTGCGCAAGACGTTATGCCTATTGAGTGTATTGAAGCTATTCATTATTATTCCTTGTTTCCCTTGGAGGTAAATGAGCTGCCTCCAGGAGTAGATAAAAACACTGAGCCAGTTCTAAATGGTTGAATAAATGTAATGGGTTTTGTTTCTCTGTGTAGAACAATGATATTTGTTAACTCCTTACAAACGCAAGTGGATTATTTCCCACAAATAAATATATATATATTATCGGAGCAACATATCAAATGCATTCCTCTGTACCTAAACGTTCAGCTCTGTAAAATAACTTTATGCCTATAAGAGGGGTATATAAAATGTAACTAAAATGTAAAGCAGGGCAGTTCCAAGATAAGGAAAAGCTTTACCCTTGCAATTATCAGTACTGTATTATTAAAATTTCTGTCCTACTGTAATGTTCCAGGAAAAAAATGAGAGCGTTTGGCACTCCCAATGCATAATCCTGATTTTTTTTTTTTCAAAGCAAAAGCAATATTGTCCTGGCAAGGACGAAGGGAGAATTCTCCAAACTGAGTTTGGAGTAAAATTCAGTCAAATAATTATTCCTGACCTGCTCCCTGCTGCAACATAATTTTAGAGAAGAACACTTCTGCCAATTACATGTCATGCCCAGTAATAATATTAGCAAACTATTATTAGCACCTGAACTATAGGCAAGGCAAACAGAATTATCTGAAAAGCTATCCATGTCTTTCAGAACACAGAACTATTAATAGATTTCACCACTTTGCTGTCTCTCAATTCTATTTCCTTTTCTTCCTTTCTTTTTTTTTGAAGGTCTCTTTCATACAAAACCTCGTTTTTTGCGTAGAAAGGGCATACCGGGTTCCAGATTTTGGCATGTGGGAGAGAGGAAGCAAATATAACAACGGCAGCACTGAATTGCATTCAAGGTATTTTTTTTTCCCCATTCCTTTTTATTTCCCCCTCCAATAAGCCCATTCTTGTTATTCTCCAACCGTTGTGAACGTTGATGTGGAATTTATAGGAGGGATTGGTTTGGTCCTTCAATCTCCATGGGGTAAAATCCATGCAGCCTTCTGTCCCTGAACTGCTGCAGGAGCGGGGAAAGGCAGGCAGAAATGTGGCATTAAATAAAGTAATGCCTATTTTTAATAGGAATATTCCCTCAGTGTACAGGTAGTCCTCAACATTTATGACCACAATTGAGCCCAAAATTTATGTTGCTAAGTCAGATGTTTGTTAAGTGAGTTTTGCCCCATTTTACGACTTTTCTCACCACGTTTGTCAAGTGAATCCCTGCAGTTCTTAAATTACTCACATGGTTGTTAACTGAATCTGGCTTCCCCACTGACTTTGCTTGTCAGGAGGTCGCAAAAGGGGATCACATGACCCTGGGACATTGCAACGGTCATAAATATGTACCAGTTGTCAAGCATCTGAATGTAAATCGCATGGCCATGGTGTCAGGATTCCAACAAATCCGCCCCCATTCAAATCATAAGTCTCCAGCCACATGTCAGAGAAAAGAAAGTTGATTTATTAGAAGGGCCCATGTTGGTGTTAGCTGGATGCAGCCGATACTAAATTACATCATACATTTCCCCCTTGACCCTGGTCTTGCCCCCCCACCCCCTGGATGTGTATTCTCCAATGGAACACATCCATAGCCAAGAGTCATCAATCATGCTGTCCAGTAATATTCTTGCGTTCTGACAACTTTGGGCTGCCAGGGGGATTATCTAGGCACTTAAGGAATGCACTGTTTTCCCCCACTCCCTTTTTCTGGCAGCCCAAAAGACCAAAGGAGTATCTTTTTAGTTGACACATGGGACTCTACAACTGTCATAAATATGAGTGAGTTGTCAGGCGTCCAAATTTTGATCACGTGACCATGGGGTCACTGCAATGGTGTAAGTGTGAGAAACGGTCCTAAGTCACTTTCTTCAGTGCCTTGGTAACTTCTAACGGTCACTAAATGAATGGTTGTAAATCAAGGGCTACCTGTATTTTTAAATGTATATCAAAATATCTATTTCTAAATGTAACAGATGAAAAGACAGTAGGGGAAGATGTTCCAAACATTGGGGATGAAGCAGAAATAAGCCTGCGGCTTATTGCAAATCATTAGGAAGGCTGTTAAAATGCTCTGTTGAACTTCCTAACCCAGGGGTCTTCCAACTTGGCAGCTTTAAGACTTGTGGACTTCAATTCCCAGAATTCCTCCTCCAGTCATGTTAGCTCAGGAATTCTGGGAGTTGAAAGTCCTCAAGTCTTAAAGTTGCCAAGTTGGAAGACCCTTGTCCTACCCAATGGGCCAATTGACCATGGAGATGTTGCAATGGCTGGAAGGGTTAGCAACGGTCCTAAATCATTTTTTTTTCAGGGCCATTGTAACTTCAAACGATCACTAAACAAATGGCTGTAAGTCAAGGACTATCTGTAGCAACGTAATTTTTGTTGTTGTTGACTTTCCCCCCCGCAATGATCAATTTTAAATTTTGGCAATTATGGAAAGTTAGCTCAGTGATGTCTAGAAGTTCATGATTCTCCCACCCTGTGTTGGAAATATTCTGTCAGCTTTGGAAACCAGACGCTTCCACATTGCCACATTTTGAGCCTGGGAAAATGGGAGGGGGAAATCTCTTGGGGTGTACGTTGTTAGACATAATAACATTCTTTTTCTAATTCAAGGTCATGTTGTTTTGTGCATAAGTGAGGGGAAGTCTCAAGTTGGGAAGGATGGTGATTGGGGCATGTGATGCGATGATGGATGCAGGGGGTGGATTTGCATTTTTTACTTATTGCAAGGAAGCCCGGAACTTTTAGATTCGGGATTCCCCAGTTGTGCCAGTTTACTATTCGAAATAAAAAGAACTTTTGAGAAGATGTCTATCTTGGAGTTATTTGCTGGAGTGGAAGTTCTCTGGAACGCTGACATATTCATTTTGCTCGAGCTTATTTCCAAGAATCTGTTGAATTATTCTGGAAAAAAAAACATTTTTGACATGTTCCATCTGTGTTTTGTTTCTGAAAAGCAACGTCTTTCTACTCCAAGCTTTAGAAAGTCTTTGGCATCAGAGTCTTCTGCTCGTTCATCTTTGTTCTGTGACTTTGTTCTGTGACTCATCCCACTGATATGTTGTCTGTCTTTATTAAGATTTTTTTTGGCTTGTTCATTTGGCTGCCAGTTTTAATGTAGTCTACGTTAAATTTAGACAATGTAGTTTAGTATTGTTCTTGATTCTTCTCATAGAAACATCATTTCCTGAAGGGGGAAGAATTTAAATATGAAAGCAAAGGAAGATTATGTATTTCCGAATGATTTGATCCTGATTAGAATTGGAACTGCTTGTTTTGTTGTGGAAGGCTGTTTCAAAACCTCTTGATCCCATCTATTTTCATTTATTTCCATTACTTAATTAGCTTAGACAGCCAGTGTCGTGTAGTGGTTATAGCATCAGGTTGAAAATGGGGAAACCGTGACCCAAAGATGCTTTTAAAAAGGCAATTGGACTTTCTTATTTTTTTTCTTTGAAAATGTTTCGCTTCTCATCCAAGAAGCTTCTTCA